AAAGAAAACATAACTCTCAACATTTAGGTCTTGACTATTTTTTACCTTGGCAATGTGGAACGTGGATTCCCTGGTGGTCCAGTGATCCAACTACTGAGCCCATACATTGCAGTCACTGAAGCCTTCGCACCTAGCACCCATGCTCTGCGACAAGAGAAACCAGCCACTGTGATGAGAAGCTCACACACCACAATGAAGAGTAGCCACCCATTGCCACAACCAGAGAAAGTTTTTGTGCAGCAACAAAGACCCAGCACAGCCAAAACTAATAAAATACATTTTTAAAAATAAAGTGGAACAGAAGAGATTGTGGGTTAAGCAAAATGAAACACCACCAACCACACCAAAGGCCAGTATTCATCTAAAGAAGGTGATATTGTGTATATGGTGGGATTGAAAGGGAGTCCTCTATTATGAACTCCTTCTGGCAGGCCAAAGGATTAATTCCAACAAGTACTATCCTCAGACCAGCTGAAGGCACTTCATGAAAAGTGTCCAGAAGTAGTCAACAGAAAACACATAATCTTCCATTAGGATAACTCAAGGCCACGTATTTCTTTGATAAGCAGGCAAATACTGTTACAGCTTGGTTACAAATTCATCCCCTGTATTCACTGAACCTTTGAATTTCTATTTATTTTGGTCTTTACGAAATTCTCTTAATGGAAAATTTTTCAATTCCTTGGAATACTGTAAAAGGCACCTGGTATTAATAGTCACTCAGCTGTGTCTGATTCTTTGTGACCTCGTGGACCGTAGCCAGCCAGGCTCCTCCGTCCATGGGATTTTCTCGGCAACAATACTGGAGTGGGTTGCCATTCCCTTCTCCAGGGGATCTTCCTGACTCAGGGATTGAATGTGGGTCTCCCGCATTGCAGGCAGATTCTTTACTATCTAAGCCACAGAGCCCTGGCTTGCTATTAATAGTCCTTTGGCCAAAAAAGAGAGAAAGTTTTGGAAATATGGAATTATGAAGTTGACTGAAAAGTGACAGAAGGTAGTGGAACAAAACAGTGAATATGTTGTTCAATAAAGCTTTTGGTGAAAATGAAAAATGTGTCTTTTAATTATATTTGAAAAACCAAAGGAACTTTTCGGCCAAACCGATACATAGTGAATTGGCTTTGGAGTCACGTTGGGCAACTTTTGTGACCTCACTGGCACTTGTTCGTCTGATGATAGGATGTTAAGATGACCTATGACACAGTTAAGTTGAAGACAATAACATTAATTATGTAAAGCACTTAGCACAGAGCCTGGCACATGGCAGTGAGCAGTAGGTGCCAAGTTATTTCTGTGATAATTATAAAATCCATGTTGAGGAAGTCCTTTTAGGTAAATGTAAATTGGATTTCAACAGTGATTTTGTGGGTTCACATCAGTGTATCATTGGTTCTGGTCTATTGGAGAACTATACATTTTGCAACTTAAAATAGTTAAGATTAATCTTATTTCTCCTCAGAAAAGGAATAGACATAGCCCTCTTACTGGGTGTGATTGTCAACTGATCGTCAATACCATTTTTGTCGTGTCACTTCCAGCACCTAGAAGAAGAATCTTGTCACACTGGGAGTCCTCAGGCCCGGAGCCCCAGGCACCATTTCTGTCTGTGGGATGATTTCTGCTTGTGGCCTAGACTCTGCTGTCCCCTGGTGGCCTCTGCTTCTTCCACTGGTTCAGTGCTCCAGGTCAGAAAAACCACAGTTGTCATACATGTAGGAGGCAGAACCTGTGAACTGCTTTTCCGTTCTTGATTGTTCTTTTAGTGGAAACAGCCATTTCTCTATGTGGTTCAGAGCAGGGGTGCGAAGTCATTACTCTCCCGCACATTACCACCTCATCAACACCAGCCGTCCCCTCCAGGAGCAGAATTGTGTTGTCTCCTTGAAGACTTACATGTTGACCAGTTCCGATTTTGCTGTCAGAGACTGACTTTAAACATCTAAGATCCTGAAGTTTCTCCCCAAACCCTGGTGTCCTTCCTGATTTCTTGTCTTTGACAATGTGCTTGGGTGTTACTCCAAAGTTGTCTGTGTCCTTGTCACAGCCTATAACCATGTGAATGTATAAACACAAATTTATTTTTCCATAACTCACCTTTAAGTTCAATTTTGAATTGTCTATTCCAAAGGGTTGGTGATACCATAATCTTTGCCAATTTCTGGTATTCCACCTCCCCCCACCACCAGGGTTGGATCTAAATTTGAGAATGTCTAGTGTGGCGGCAACTGTTTAGGTTGGGACCTCTGGTCCCCAATGCCATCTGTCTACATGGGTATACAGTGTGAAACTCGGCATCCTAACCCAGTCATTGGTTCTCCCAGCCTCTACTGGGTTCAGAGTTCCTTTCTGCAAGCTCCCGTCTCAGAAAGAAGGTGTCTTTTCTTCCAGGAGAAGAAGAGGGCATCAGAGGATGAGATGGCTGGATGGCATGACATCAACTTGGGCAAACTCTGGGAGATGGTGAGGGACAGGGAGGCCAGGTGTGCTGCAGTCCACGGGGTCGTGAAGAGCTGGACACAACTGGGAGACTGAAAAACAGCTACAACTCCCAGGGCACACTGACAAATACAGGGGTGTTGTTTTGCTCACTCTCCAAGTTAGGGACCATCTAAACCAGTCCTCTGCTACCTTTCCTCTTTCTCCCCACTTTCTACCTGCCACAACCTCCTCTTTCTCCAGCACAAGAGGGGAGTTCATTTCAGTTTTTCCTGTGAGTGGAAAGCCATGCTCTCACCAAACATTTCTTATCCACATCTCTTGCTCCGCCAGGAGTATTTTTTTGGTTCCTGTAAGTCAAGACTTTTGCAGTATGAAAGCCAGGACGGACTCCTTTTTTTCCCTCCTCTGCTTTCTTTTCTTTCGCTGCATCTTTCCCTTAAAGCAATAAATAAGCACAGGATGCCTAGTTGCTTGTTTGGGGTGGAGTCATGCACAAAAACATCGAAAGAAGGTAATGCTGGTTAGGGGAGGCAATCTGTTAATATTATCCTACCACACTAGGAACAGACAGAAACAGTAATAGGGCTCTTAGGAAAAATATCCCTCTCTCTCTCCAGATGAAACTGTGTCCTCAGCCTTAAAAAAATAGTAAATAGTCAACTGAGTCCTTTTGCTGTCCACTTGAAACTATCACAACATTGCTAATCAGCTATACTCCAATATAAAAAGAAAGTTATAAAAATTATATATATACATATATGTGTATATATATATATATACATACATATATAAAAGGAATAATTCATAGTCTTGGCTCCATTCCTTCCTACACATTGGGCAAGACTTCAGAACTCAGAGCCCTGTCTTAAGCAGACTGACAATGAGACAGTTTGTCTTCTAGGATAAGGATTTATCAGTTCTGGAAAGATTTTCAAAGGAAGATTCTGTTAATTGAGTTGGTTCTAGGAATATGACAGTTATATAAAGTTGTTACTTTGCTGTGAAAAATCTAGACAGAGTGAGAGTAACATCTGGATTCGTCTTTTACACCCAGAAGCCTGTATAACAGAAAGAATCACGTTGCATTTTCTGACAATGCAGAGGCATCCTCAAAGCACTTTTGCTTCTTTCATTTTGAAGTATTATTCAAAACTGATACTAGTAACTTTTGATATTAGTAATTACTGTAACATAGTATTAGTAACATTAATGTTGGTATTAGTAACATCAATGTTGGTATTAGTAATTATAATAAAGTATTAGCTATTTATGGTTAATAATTGCTTACACTTGAGTACTTACTATGTGTCTGAAACCTAAATAACTTATTTAATCTGGATAAAAACATTAGAAAATACCTATTATCTTCACTTACAGATAAGGAAACTAAGACACAGAGAGGCTAAGTAACTTTTCAAAAATCACAAGCTGCTATTAGAGCTTCAACCCTAAAAGTCTGATAGCCAAGTAGAAGTGCTTAGCTGTGCTGCCTAGGTAATGGTAATGATAATCAACCATAATAACAGAGTGCATAAATGACTATTTTTGGAATAAACTGAAAGCTAATACGTGAACTGTGAACTTCCAGATGTTCAAGCTGGTTTTAGAAAAGGCAGAGGAACCAGAGATCAAATTGCCAATATCCGCTGGATCATCAGAAAAGCATGAGTTCCAGAAAAACATCTATTTCTGCTTTATTGACTATACCAAAACCTTTGACTGTGTGGATCACAAATAAACTGTGGAAAATTCTGAAAGAGACGGGAACACCAGACCACCTGACCCACCTCAGACCAACCTAGATAGCATATTAAAAAGCAGAGACATTACTTTGCCAACAAAGGTCCGTCTAGTCAAGGCTATGGTTTTTCCAGTGGCCGTGTATGGATGTCAGAGTTGGACTGTGAAAAAAGTTGAGCGCTGAAAAATTGATACTTTTGAACTGTGGTGTTGGCGAAGACTCTTGAGAGTCCCTTGGACTGTAAGGAGATCCAACCAGTCCATCCTAAAGATCATTCCTGGGTGTTCAGTGGAAGGACTGATGCTGAAGCTGAAACTTCAGTACTTTGGCTACCTCATGCCAAGAGTTGACTCATTGGAAAAACCCTGATGCCGGGAGGGATTGGGGACACGAGGAGAAGGGGACGACAAAGAATGAGATGGCTGGATGGCATCACCAACTCGATGGACATGAGTTTGAGTAAACTCCGGGAGTTGGTGACGGACAGGGAGGCCTGGCATGCTGCAATTCATGGGGTCGCAAAGAGTCGGACACACTGGGCGACTGAACTGAACTGAAAAGCTGATTTTAAGCTCGTAGATCAGAATAAAAATTTTTAATCATTTGATATGTGAGAAAAAGTCTAAGCTACCAATTTGTAGTTCTGAAATGAGACTAGGTTAAGGAATAATTTATTTTGACTCTTATCAAGCGGCCCAGAGGTTATGTGCTAAGTTAAGTTCTTTTGGATCTTCAGGGAACCACAACGGATAAACACCATGAAACTGAAGGCCATCAACGCATAAAAAAGAAACATTTTACATTAGCTTTAATGTGCTGGAATTTGAAAGGATCAGCACGAGGAACTGATACAGGAACTCTTCTCACATTGTACATAAAGGCATATGAATACGAAATTTCTTGACATTTTCATATAAACATTCTCAGGGCCTGACACTGTGATAAGTGTTGAAGTTAGAAAAAAGAACACCAAATTCTTGTCTTCGTGGAGTTTAACGGTAGAAGACAGATGAATAGGTCAGTAAACAATTAGAATATGATGAAGTGGTAAGGACCACAGCACCACTCTTTTTCAGAATTAAGCTTTATCAAGAAGTGAGTGTGAGGTCATGCAGCGGAATCAGAAGCTTGAATACAGCCCCCTCCGCCAGCCCCGAGGGAAAGCGGGCGATCTACAAGGCAGCTGAACCAGGAATCTTCGGCCAGGCCTCCTGCCGCCGTTCACGTGGCCAAGTAGGAGAATCGAATTACAGCGTGGCTGCCACCGCACAAGGATCAGCGACTCGCCGCCGCTAGCTGTGCCGCCAGGCGGGTGCTGAGGGCCACCGTCTCCACCCTCCGACGACCCCCGACGTGAGCATTTCCAGCCCTGTTTCCCATACAAACGGATTTTCAGAGAGCTGGCCCCTCGCCGGAAAGCGGAGCCCCGAGGTGAAACGGGTTGACAGCCTGACAACGCTCTCCCGAAACGCGAGCAACAGGAATAAAAACAACTGGGCCTGTAGCTTCACTGAACGAGAAAAGAGGGGAAACACGGGTCAGAAAGCATAGAACCGGCAGCGCCGGCTCAAGCGCCAGCGGACTCCAAGGGCAGCGAAGCCGGAAGTCGGGCCGCGCCGCCGGAAGTTGAGAGGCGGTGCCGGAAAGTCGGCTTCGTCCTCCGGTCCCCAGCCGGAAGCGGCTCACTAGCGCCGCTGTTCTTCGCGGACCTTGTGACTTTAGGGTTCGAGCTTCACGGTGACCACGCGGTGTTACGAGGCGGTCGTACACGCGTCCTCAGGCTACAATGTCGCATCCATCCCCCCAGGCTAAGCCCTCCAACCCCAGTAACCCTCGAGTCTTCTTCGACGTGGACATCGGAGGGGAGCGAGGTGAGGCGGCGGGGCGCCCGGAGTCGGGGGTCCCTGAGGCTGGAACGCTGCTCGGGCAGGGGGCGGCTCTGAGGTGGGGGCCGGCTGCCCACACTGGGACCTGGACTGGTCCAGGCCTCCGGGCTGCATTGCGCCCGCGACCTTGTACCGGTGCCGTGGGGCGTGGAGAAGTTTCTGGAAATTTCTGTTCGAGGAATTCTGGAAGCTTTTGGCTTTATCTGTCCCGACTTGGCCGCACCTGCCTGCCACCTAGCACCGTGAAGTTATCACAAAACGAGGTGATTTTATGTTTGTAGGGCGAAAACCTGTTTAGAAAACCTCTGGTTAAGCGTCTGGTGGGCTTCCGTCACCCTGTGTCTTTTGCCACGTGATGTATGTCAGCAGTTGCCATATTATCTATAAATTAAAGCGACTTTCCCGTGTTTTTCTTTTTTACTACTGATTCTTAAGTTAGGTATCCATTCAGATTGGTGGACATTTCCTCCGTTTTGGCATGGGAAAAATGAGATCTGTGTGGCGGTGTGGTTGCCTAGGCTACAGTAGCAGCTTGGAGGCGCCTCAGGTCTTGTGAATTAGCACGTTGCTTTGTAGCTTAATTGCTTGTGTTCGGGAACACGTTACAACTGCTTTAAAGGAAAAAACTGAGGCCGTGAGCCTGGGACAGAGTATCTCAGGTCTGTTCAAAGAGATGAGGAAGGAGTCAAGGTATTTAGGAGTTTTTGCAACAAAGACAGGTGGGCGGAACATCAAAAAAAATTACAGTTAATTAAAGAAATCCAGGTATCTCAAGGAATTTAGGGCTTTTCTCTGTATGGGAAGATGTAAGAATCTGTGCTCACTGAAATCATTTGATGTGCATCTCAGCTCTCTGGGGCCAGTATCCCGTGTTTTCTCTCATCCTTAGTCTCCTCAGGGTGCGCTGTTCATGGCGGCTGCAGCAACTGACTGCTAGGTGGGCTTGGAAGTGGGTAGCCTGTTTGTCTCCACGCCGTGTTCTCTCAGGGCTCTTTGGCAGCGTCGGTCAGCATAGTATGATGGTTTAATGGCTGCAACATTCTTTGTTTACTGAGAAGGCAGGCAAACACAGAAACTTAGGTGTGCATTCACTTTGTTTTGAAATTTAGTGCTAAGTTTATTGCCTGCATTAGGAATTATCTAGAATGGCAACTTTCTCAGGTTTTGCTGCAGAGGCAGCACTAGGCAGGTTGCATAGAGCACAGAGACTACAGCTATATCTAAACCTTGGCCAGCCTGACCACTCAGAGGATATTTCATTTTCTTCTATTGGTCATTTGGTGATTTAAAATTTTGCACACATGTCAGAGAAAATTAATCAAGTGATGGGGCCCTTTGTTGTTGTTCAGTCACTGAGTCGTGTCTGACTCTGTGACCCCATGACACGCCCGGTTTCCCTGTCCTTCACTATCTCCCAGAGTTTGCTCAAACTCATGTCCATTGAGTCAGTGAACCCTGAATATTCAGTGGAAGGACTGATGCTGAAGATCCAATACTTTGGCCACCTGGTGTGAAGAGCCGACTCATTGGAAAAGACCCTGATGCTGGGAAAGATTGAGGGCAGGAGGAGAAGGGCGCGGCAGAGGATGATGGTGTCCTTATATGCTGCTAATCTTCTGGCTATTGTGTTTATGATCCTTTGTAAGATGTAGTAAAGTTGTTGTTTTAAAGTCATCTGGACACAGGGTACTCAATTTAGGTAGACTATATTAGAATATTAGAAAAATGACCAAAAAGAGAGAACTTGGTATTTTTCAGTCACCATAATTTTGCAGTTCTTCCATCATGTGCTTATTTAGTTGTTTTGCACACTGACACAATTTTATTTTTTCTTTCAGTTGGTCGAATTGTCTTAGAATTGTTTGCAGATATTGTACCCAAAACTGCAGAAAATTTTCGTGCATTGTGTACAGGAGAAAAAGGCATTGGACCCACCACTGGGAAACCTCTCCATTTCAAAGGATGTCCTTTCCATAGAAGTATGTATACGTTTTGTTAATTTGATTCTTCTTAGAGGTAATTGAGTCCTGTTCCTTGGGGAGTTAGGGAAGAAAACACTAAGTAGAGGGTGGGAGTTAAAAATTACTGTTAGTTTCCAAAAGGATGTTTTAACATCTGAGACTGTAGGTCAGTTTCATAGATGGGCTGTGAAAGGTGTAAGTAATTATGGGAGGGTCCTAAGGTTTATTTATTGAGAAATGGGTTACTCTTGCTTCACCAGGATGTGGCCATGATAAACAAATAGAGTTTGGGTAGCTTCACTGCCTAGTGACAAAAAGTTAATGCCTACTTCTTGGGCAGGATTGCTTGGGAAGACTGCTGCTGACTTAAAGATTCCATGTCTTGGATCCCTGGGGTGACATGTGATGAAGAGGTGACCTTTCACCCTGTGTTGTCACACTTTTGTTTAATAATGATTTGCTGGTACTCCCCATGGAGTAGCTCCATATTTGAGGAACTGCATCTTCTCACCATTTTGTCCTCAGCATCTAGTATCATTACTGAGTAGGCACTCAGTATTTATTTAATGAATAAACAAATACGTTAATTGGCAGTTTTATAAGTATTTAAAGAAACTTGATTAAGAAAAAATTAACATTGATTTTAGATTAAACTGTTGATTTACTTTCATGTTTAATAAAATACCAAAATACAAGCCATGTGTGTTTGTGCTTAGTCAGATTCAACTCTGCGACCCTGTGGACTGTGGCCCACTGGGCTCCCCTGTCCATGGAATATTTCAAGCAAGAATACTGGAGTGGGTTGCCATTTTCTTTCTCCAGGGGATCTTTCCAACCCAGGAATTACCTGTGTCTCCTTCTTGGCAGGTGGATTCTTTACCACTAGCACCACTTGGGAAGCCCCAGATATAAGCATTACCAGGGAGATATTGCAGGTTTGGTTCCAGACTACTGCAATAAAGTGAATGTTGTAATGGAACAAGTTAGAAAGTTCTGGTTTCCCAGTGCATATAAAAGTTATGTGTGCAGGATACTATAGTCTATTAAAGTGTGTAAAGTAGCATTGTATCTGGAGAAAAATACATATCTTAATGAAATACTTTATTGCTAAAAAAAATGCCAGAACAGTTATAGTAGTAACATAAAAAAATCACTGGTCCTAGATCACTGTAGCAAATAATAATGAAAAAGTTGGAAATAGTGTAAGAACTACCAAAATGTGACACAGAGACACAAGGTGAGCACATGCTGTTGGAAAAACGGCTCTGATAGACTTGATGCAGAATTGCTATAAACCTTCAAGTTGAAGAAAAAAAAACACCCCACAGTATCTGCAAAATGCAGTAAATCAAGGAGTTGCCTGTATTCTAATAAAGTGTCTGTGGAGAAGAGTTAACATTGCAGACCTGAGACTGCTGTCCATCAAGTCTGCTTGCAAGGGTGGAATTGCCTGAAGTCAGAGCACTTAACCATTCTCTGAATCGTAACATGGCTTAGTCTGCCGAGACTGTACAGTTTGATTTATGCTGAACAGTTGCTTTGCTTTTGAGGATGTGGTGGAATTTTGGTATCTGCTAGGCAGAGAGTGCCTTTATGATGAGCCCCTGTAGAAACCTTGGTGGGTGCTGAGTTTCTCAAGGGCTTTCCTGGGGAGCGACATTATACACATGTTGCTGCATTTTCTTTGCTGGGGGAAGAAGGCACCCTGTGACCTTTCACATAAGGAGGGAGCACAAGGAAACATATGGATTCTTCTAGGTTTTGCCTTACCTTTTTCCTTTATTGTCCAGCTGTGTCTCCTTACTACATTAGTGTCATACAAGCAGATACAGAATTCTGGGGAATCTGAATGTGGTGGCAGTGTTAAGTAATAACATTTGCAGAAGTAATTCCAATACAGTGTAACAGGCCTCTTGGGAATAATTGGTTTATTCAGTAGGCATTTTTGAGTTAACCATTATGTGTCCAGCCATGCACATGGTTACCACGGAACCAAAACGGTGTTGCTGTTCTTAATTGTTTGCTAGAAGAGACAGATCATTAATGATCCATATTATAAAAGAAAGGTAAACTCAAGGTTCTATGGGAGAAAAATTAGTAGATCCAGTCTTGAGGTTTGACAGTGTCGTAGGGGAGGTGCCATACAAACTAATTCTCTTGAGTGTTAATGGGGATTTGGATTGGGAAAAGGTTTTTTAAAAGTCTGGAGTTGTGCATATAGGTGGGGAGGGCAGGAGAGAAGTTGTCTTTATTGTCACACATTCATTAGTTAACACTGCTGTAGTCATCTGTACTGTAGTTTCTAATGCTGATTTTCCTTTTTTTTTTAGTTATTAAGAAATTTATGATTCAGGGGGGAGACTTCTCAAATCAGAATGGGACAGGTGGAGAAAGCATTTATGGTGAAAAATTTGAAGATGAAAATTTCCATTATAAGGTAAAGTAGACAAAAATGTGTGTTGCTAATAATAAAGGTTGTCATGTGTCAGATTGTCAAATTAGGATGAATGCCCCAGATGTGCTTAGATCTCCTTTATTTGTGAAAGGTATCATATTTGTAAATATACATCTTTAATATGAAAAAAAACTCATCCAGCAATGATTTTATTGGCAAAAATAAAACAGCGATTTCAGTGTGATCCAGGTTTATCCACTGCGGTAAAGCCAATGAGTTTTCATGGATGGCCAACATATGGCAAAATTGTTTCCAGGAAAAATGTTCCCATTAGAGGGATGGTAAGTTGTGCATCTTTATGCCTAAATTTGAAGAGCAGCAAAACCACGGCTAATGTCTGGGGTGTCAGGGTATTTGCAGACGAGCGGATCTGGTTAACGTCCAGGCTCCTAAGGGACCGTAGTGACGCCTGCGCCTGCTTAATTTCAGTGACCCTGGGGTCCCCATCAGGGTGTGTGGTATCATTCAGTCATGACAGTGGGCGTGTAAGAGCAAAAGTAAACGTGTTTTTGGAAATGGGGAACAGGAGCAAGGTGATTAGGATCATTTGAGAATAAATATCATCAATGTTTTAAGCAGTTTATTTCCTGCAGCTGATACAGTCACTGGCACCGAAGAGTTTATAAAAAGGAAAGACCTTCATGATAAGGAATAAAATCTTGCCAAAAAGGCAAGATTAAAACACATAGGACAACTGGAGAATAATGTAATAATATGCAAGTAAATGCTAAGTTGACCAAGACCTGTGTGTACTATAGGAGAAAGGTATGACTCCTATGGTCTGGATTACTGGGGAAGACATCATGGGGGAACGGGTGCATGAACTAGGCACACTGGACCTCGCCAGCTGGCTGAGATTTGGTTAGAAGGAACTAAAATACAGATGCCTTTGAGGGAGGGATATGAGTGAGGAAGGAAGAAGGCATGAGGAAGCTGAGGAAATAAAGTGAATAATATTTAATATTGTGGGGAAAGCACCAGACTTTTGGAAGGGAGAAAGCCAGTACCAGCAAGATGAAAACTCAGATTATGTGATGGAAAAGTTGAGCAAAAGACAGGGGGTGGACTTCCCTGGTGGTGCAGTGGGTAGGAAGCCGCCTGCCGATGCAGGGGACACAAGTTTGATCCCTCATGCTGGAAGGTCCCGCATTACTCCCGTGTGAGTAAACCCACACGCCACGACTACTGAGCCCGTGTGCTGCAGCTAGTGAGGCGTGTGCGCCCAGAGCCTGTGCTCTGCCATAAGAGAAGCCACCACCATGAGGGGCCTGAGCACCACAACCGAACAGGCCCCACTCACCACAGCTAGAGAAAACCTGCTCAAGAGCTGCAAAGACCCAGTGCAACCAGAAACCAAAGTAACGTTTTAGAAAGGGGGCTGTTGCGTGGACACGTGGTCCTCTGGCACACTGGGTGGCCTTGAGAGCTGGATTAGATTTGGGCTTAGGGGTAAAAGGCATTTCAGGTGGGAGGGCCAACATGAGTGTTACACGGGTGGGAAGTAGGAAAGGACCTAACTTTTCTGACGTGTGAAGAGAGAATCATCATGTAGGCCCGAAAGTGGGAACACTGTTGAGTGCCTTTCAGAAAAAAAGTGCCTCAGTCATAAGACAGGGTGAAGCAGAATTACTAGATTTCCCTCCTGTGGCATCTTCATCTTAATGATGAAGTCCAAGCATGTTCTCAGTATGATCAATTTAGGGGTACCACTCCTGCCCCCACTGTTGTTTCTGTTACCTTAATTTGGTTTCATAAGCTCTCCTTAAAGTTTAAAAAGTGGTTAAGTGCTCTCATGTTTTGTGAATTAAAGTCGCACTTGATAACGAAGTAAGTCCCTCTATGTTGTATGCTGTAAGTGGTATTCCAGTGCCCCCCTCACCCCCTCACCCACACTTTTCTGTGAATGGTTGGTTGAGTAGAGCGGGAACTCTCATTGTGGTTTTCTTTATGGTTTATCCCCGCAGCATGACAGGGAGGGATTGCTGAGCATGGCCAACGCGGGCAGCAACACCAACGGCTCCCAGTTCTTCATCACCACCGTTCCGACTCCGCACTTGGATGGGAAGCACGTAGTGTTTGGCCAAGTGATTAAAGGAATGGGTGTGGCAAAGATTCTAGAAAATGTGGAGGTGAAAGGTGAAAAACCTGCCAAAGTGAGTAACGGGATGGTAATATTATCTTAGCTGCTGGATTAGAGAAGGGTGAGTAAAAGGGTGATTGTTAGCTGAAAAATGTCCAGAAGGCTCTTGTTCTAGAAGCCTGCACCTGCCACTTTTTTTTTGAAGCTGTTTTCTACTGTGGGAAAGATGAGGGCAGTTTAAAAAGAGACTTTTATTATTTCCACTTCAGTCTTGCTGATTTTAATAACCAAAGTCTCCTATGCCTGTAGAACTTGGAGTCGGTATGTGTACACGTGCAGAGTACAGAGAGCAGGAAACCAGGAGTCCTTGGGTCTCCTCTCTGCCATGTAACTTGTGGTCTAGCCTTGCTCTTGTGATTTAACTTTCCTTGGCCTGACTTCTCATCCTATATAAATCACATAAGGGTTTGGACTAGATCCTGTCACTCCAGAGAGCCTTGTGTTCTACATGTCTGTGGATCAACACGGCCATCACAGGTGCCCTGCATGCACAGGGCTGGGAGTGGAAACTGGAGAGTCAGACCTGCGGGAGGTGTGCTGTCAATGTGCGAAGGAGAGTCAGTGGAAAGCACGGGCCACAGCTCAGGGGACGGTGAACTGTCCACTCCCTCTGTACACGAGTTACTGGCTGCAGCGAGTGCTTCCGTGGCGTAGGGATGCTGCTGCGCTCCTGGCGGTGTGCAGAGCGCGTTGCTGCAGTCACAGCAGGCGCGTCGACCAGGAAGCCACGTAGGCACACGACCTGCAGCTGTAGAGCTTTTAAACCCAGACCTTTAAAAATCATCATTAATGTAGTAGTGCGCTTCTACAATTGAGGGTTATTTTTACAGTTGTGCGTTATTGCAGAATGCGGAGAACTGAAAGAAGGGGATGATTGGGGAATATTTCCAAAGGATGGATCTGGTGACAGTCACCCAGATTTCCCCGAGGATGCAGATGTGGATTTAAAAGATGTGAGTAATTTCAGATTTGGGGCTTTCCTGGTGACTCAGATGGTAAAGAATCTGCCTGCAATGTAGGAGACTGGGGTTGGTTACCTGGGTTAGGAAGATCCCCTGGAGAAGGGCATGGCAACCCACTCCAGTATTCTTGCCTGGAGAATCCCATGGACAGAGGAGCTTGGTTGGCTACAGTTCATGGAGTCTCAAAGAGTCAGACATGACTGAGCAGCTAACAAACACTTTCAGATTGGCCAAACTAATTAAACTGCTAAAAAAAAATTTACTACTAAAATTTTTAAAATTTTACTTATTTATTGGCCATGCTGTGTGGATTGTGGCATTCTCACTTCCTGACCAGGAGTGGAACCATGCCCCCTGCAGTGGAAGCGCAGAGTCCTGACCACCACCAGGGAATTCCCAGTGCTAAAATTTTGAGTTTTTTTGGTCAATCTGTCTTAAAGTTAGAACTTAGCACTAAACTGCATTGTATACTCAAACCCCACATATTTGTATTCTTTCTTTTTTACAGGTAGATAAAATTTTATTAATATCAGAAGACTTAAAAAACATTGGAAATACGTTTTTCAAATCCCAGAAGTGGGAGATGGCCGTTAAAAAATACACAAAAGTTTTAAGGTAATAAAACATTTTTAATAAATTGCATTTAAGAACTTGTAAATTGAATTACAAAGTGAAATTCAAGAGCTGCTTTTTGTATTTTTGGCCTATTACAGAGTAACCAGGTATATTGAAATTTTAGTTCCATTTTTTTAGTTGCCTACAGATTCTTAATTGAAAAATTTCAGAATATGGAAAAATTAAAAGAATAGTACATGAATATTCATGTACCTTTATCTGCATTCACCAATTTTAACTTCTGCCACGTTTATTTTTGCACAATCATTTTGAAAGGAAGTTGTAGATACCATGACACTTTACCCCTCAATATTTTAGCAAGTACCAGTATTTCCCCCCAGAATGAGGACATTCTTCTACTTAGTTTTAATGCATAAAAACATCTCCCAAATATAGATACACTGACAACTATAGATACAATATGTAATGCATATGCAGATGTCCCCAGTTGTCTCAAAATTTTTTTAAACTCCTGTATCCATTGTATCCTTTGTTTTTATGTCGCTAAGGCTTCTCTAATCTTTAATGCCCACTTTTTTTAAGTCATTTCCATTTTGTAGAATCTAAGCCAGTTGTCTTAGGTAATATCACCCGTATGTGTTTATTGCTTCGTCCAGATTAGGTTGAGGTTAAATATTTTAGCAAGAGGATAGATGATGTGTCTATATCCTTTGTGTATCATGTCCTGAAGGCACGTGGCAGTTTGGCCTATTTTGAGTTCTGGCACTTGGTTAACATGGTGTTAGTCATATGTTTCTATTATAAATAAAGTACCTTTACCTTTTTAATAAATAAGACATCCTCTGTGCAGTGGTGCTGTGAGATTGTATGACTAAGTTTCTAGGCTTTCATCCACTGGTCTCAGCATCACTGAAGACCTTTGCCTGAATCAGTTGCTACATTGAGGCTTGCAGAACTGTGATTTTCTGATTTTACCAGTCATTCTGCAGTTACTAGTTGTCATTCTTCTGTTTGAAAGGACTTCTTACCCTTTTTTTAGTATCGCTATAGATGTGTGGATTATTTTTTTCAATTCAGCCTGTTACACTGTTCGCATCATTCTTTCTGAGGCTGTGAGGTTTCAGATTTGCCCCTTGGCTGCACCCGTCTGACACGTCCCTCTCCGTCTGGGAGCACGTGCCTGCTTTCTGCCACAAGATGGTCCGGGCTCATCTTACATTTAACCTCATGTCCAGATCTGAATTTCTCTCAGGAGCCCAGATTCTTTTCATTGAGGGAGACTCTAGAAACTAGACTACAGGGGCCAGGTATATGTATTGTTTCAGGGCCCCTTTCAGTTAGGAACTATAGTAAACAGCTGGGAATTACAGTAAAAGATGAGCCAGCGTTACCACCACAGGTTTCTTCACCTTTCCTAGTCCAGTCCCTCTCCTGCAATGACAGCCTTAGTTCCAAACCTCTTTACATTGGAAAGCGGTTGATAAAAACCTTAATTTTATAAATAGAAAAGTGTTAATAGTATTTATAATCTTTAGGTTTGGGGATTGTTCTTAAGTTGGTGTGTTTGAACATTTTGGGAAAAAAAGTTGGAACAAAAACCTTCTAAAGGAAAGCATTAAGAATATTAATATTAGCATTGGTGAACTTTTGTATCAGCACTGAAAACGAGTCATGAGTGAGTCAGAGGCAGAGTGTCTTAATGGGCTGTTGCTTGCTGCTTGTACGGGGGTGTTCTCCAGGTATGTGGAAGGCTCCAGAGCTGTTGCTGAGGATGCAGATGGAGCAAAGCTGCAGCCTGTTGCTCTGAGCTGCGTGCTGAATATTGGTGCTTGCAAACTGAAGATGTCTGATTGGCAGGGCGCAGTCGATAGCTGTTTGGAGGTGAGTCTGTTGATGTTCTTACATTTGAATATTATGGATCTGTTCTTCCTCTCAAACCATTCATTTAGCTTATAACACGAAATCACTTAACTTCCATGAAGATACTGTCTTTCTCAGCTCAATTATTGAGCACCTATTATGTGCCGGACATTGGAAGATAAACCCAGGAATGATTAAGAATGTGGCTGTGGAGTCGGTCAGCAGACATGGTTTTTCTCTTAGACCATTGTCACTTCTTGATTTCGAGGAAGTCTTAGAGTCTTCATTTCTTTGTGTTAAGTGGAAATACTACTTTCCTCCTGGGATTGTTATGAAGACTGTGTTATGTGTGTAAAGCATCTTAAGTGCAGTGTTGGGCACAGATTAAGCAGCTGATGGGCACTTAGGTGTTTTGATTGAAAGACAGACCCTCCCGTCAAGGAATTTATTTGGTGGGAGAGGGAGTCAGTTTCAGTTTAGGGTTGTCAAGACTCTTCTGGGGGGGGGCGAGTGCTGTTGGAACACACAGGAAGGTTGCCTGCCTTCATGGGGACGTCAGCAGTGCTGACGGAGAGAGCTGGAAAGTGGCCCCCGTCCCTCCTTAAGCACAGCAGTTAGGACAGTGTGTTTGATCAAGTTTTCCAGATGAGAACATACATTTCGGAAAGACCCCCTCCAGTCATTTTTATGTATATTGCCCATTAATTGGTGTACACAGGTCAGCTATGCCTGAGCAAGTAGAAATGAAATGAGGTCCCAATTTATGGGGTAGGTGGAATAAGGTGTAAGTATATTTAGAAGGGAGTAGGCAGCAGAACAAGGTGATTCTTTACTCTGGATTGCTTTTTTGACCTTTGCGAGGCAAGTAATATACCCTTTTCAGTAAAATCTGAGAGTTGACTTTTAAAAGATGTTAAATAAATAAATATATCATTTTTAAAATGTTTGAGAGGAGAAGCCTATTAATTACTCATATTCCTGAAAAACCCTGGATGTCAGCTTAAATGAGTATATACAAATTTTTATTCAGAATATTTTTTCCTATCAGCTAGGGCCCAATCAGAAGATAGGTATTACATAGTAATTTCTGTAGAGAAAGTTTACTATAAAGTAGATATAAGGGGAAATTGGAATAATGGAGGTTGACTTTGAATATGGCAACAGCAGGTATAAATGCATTTATATGTGCATCTGTATGTATAACATAGGAGTGCCCACTCCCTCTGGGCTGGGCTGAGATCCAGAGTCCTTGCGGAGGGGGTGGCCCGGCCTCACTGGATGGCAGGGCGGTTGGGTGCTTGAGGAGCCCGCCTGCAGGAGCCTGGACGGGACACAGGTTCCTCACCCGCGTCCCCTTGGCGCCCTCTGCTGACCAAACAACGTGTCAGCAGGCAGAGAAGGCTCTCCGTCTAGCGCTGTTGTCACAAAGCAAATCGATTTGGAGCTGACAGGCAGTAAATTGAAATCTAGGATATATATTTAGTATTCAATGTTTGGATTAAAAAATACTAATTTTATAATTTTTTTGTAGGCCCTTGAAATAGACCCATCAAATACTAAAGCACTGTACCGTAGAGCCCAAGGATGGCAAGGATTAAAAGAATATGATCAAGCATTGGTAAAACTTTGTTCTAAATTTTAATTACAAAAAAAAAACTTTTCATAAATCATAATCTATTATTTCTTTTTTTTCTCCCAATTAAAGGCTGATCTTAAGAAAGCTCAGGAGATCGCACCAGAAGATAAAGGTAAGTTGGCAGTTTCTGGAGTGAAAGTCCTGAATGAGTCAGGGCCCCGCCCTCAGCTTGGTCTAGTCTGTGTCCAGAACACTCATCTGCACGTATCTGGACTCTCTGCTTTACTGTCTGGTAATGCCAGATGAAGGAGCATCATTAGAAGATAGTGTTTATGGCAGATTTAATTAATGTTTGGGACCATTCCTTAAGCTAAATGTGGACATATCCCTAATAGCTACTGGATATGTTGTAGGAAAGTTTTGGAAAGCTGCGACAAAAATAAGCTGCTTTCCAAGTAAACCAACTACAAATAGTGATCATCAATCTAGATATGAAATATATCTTGAGTCTTTTGCTAAAATGAAACAGGGGAGGCACTTTAAAGCCATCTCTAATGGAAGGGAGAAGGCACTTCTAAATTATGCTCTGTTAATAGGGCTCAGTTACTCTTAAGAAGAGGTTTATCTTTTTTTTTTTAAACCATACTAAAGCATCAGTTTGGTCAACCTAATTTTTTGGATGTTTTGAGAAGTAACTCATACTCCATATTTATTTTGCAGCTATCCAGGCAGAATTGCTGAAAGTGAAGCAAAAGATAAAGGCACAGAAAGATAAAGAGAAGGCAGCTTATGCAAAAATGTTTGCTTGATGAGGAATTGAGTTTGGCTTCAGTGTGCGTTGATTGTATGAATGAGGAAGACAGTTGGAAGGCTTGTCTGTTCTGTGTGACCCCTTCTGTGCTCCCTCCGATGCTTCGGTTCCCCGTGTTTACAGTCCAGGAACATGGATAGGGGCTTGTTCTTTAATACACTAGTGTTACCAACTACAATGGCGTCGATTCCCTTTTCAGTGACTCTGCATTATTCAAAGCATAATGGTGTCTCCAGTTTGTTTTTAAACTCCTAAAGACACATCGTGTTTGAATAAACAGACAAAAGCTTGAGTCTGTGTATTGTTTTTTTCAGTTCTTTGATGCATCTCTCTGCAGTACAGGCTCCGGTTTGGCAGGTGTCTCTAAAGGGTCAGACATTACTGTCTGTCTCAGCTACTCAATTCTGCGCTTGGAGCTCAGAAGCAGCCACTGACAGCATGTAAACCAGGAGGTGTTGCTGGGTTCCTTAACACTAAGAAGAGTGGTGGGCTGGATGCCAGCCTCTGGTCTACAACATAATACACACTTTACGTGAAGTGTTGAACTTGACGAGTCAAATGTACATTACAAGCTGATGGTGTATTTTGCTTTTGGTGCTGAATCTTGGAAGAATTGGAGAAGTAATAGATGCTTCAGCACTTAACAAAGTTTTATTTAAGAGAAATAGTCATAATCTTTATGGGACAATTTATTATAAAATGATTTCACTGGTAATTATTTTTTGAATACTGATCACTAATATGTTGTAAGATATTTTGACACCTGTGAACGTCCAAGTACTGGAAGTTAGTTTGCCGTCTGTTTTATAGACCCTGAAGCCAGCTGCAGTTTACATTCCATTGTATGCAGGGCCTCCACCGCCTTCAGGTACCACCCAGTTAATGTTCTGACTTGGATCCTTAATATCACATGTTTTACAGTGCACACAGTTCTGAGCATTTATCTGTAGCCGAAATCCATCACCTTGTTCCACAGGGACAAATTCATAAACTCCTGTGAGGAAAAATAGACACGGTGCAGTAACTAACTTCAAAGTAGAAGCCGAGGTCCTGGAGAAACTAGCCAGAGAAACCCACAAGGTTTGCTGAGGGAACATTTACCAACAGAGAAGATTACAAAGATCTGGGTGTGTGCATTTGCTGTTGTTTTAAATCAAATGTGGTAAGAGCAGAAGGTGTGGCAGTACATGGCTAGCTGGTGTAACTAACAAGGGAACTCTGCCTCGAGCAGTTTCTGAATGTGATGTTATATACAGGCCTGCACAGGAGACGCCACAAATACGATGAAATGGTGCATCATGGGGGTTTTGTTTCCCGTGTATGTAGCAGTTACATTACAATGTTACCATCTGAGCCTTTGGTCAGTCACAGTGGTAACATCAGAGATCACTGATCTCAACATCAAATATAGTGAGAAAGTGTGGAATTTTGCAAGAATTTCATGTGACCTGTGAAGTGAGCAAATGTTGGGAAAATGGCGCCAGTCAGCCTATTCAATGCGTGATTGCCACAGATCTTCAATTTTTAAAAAGCCCAACATCCACCAAGTGCAATAAAATGAGATCTGCTCATATGTATGTGGCTATGGCTGCAAAGATCAGCTCTTATCCTCAATTTACAAGCCAGTGAGATGACAGGGTTAGGAGCGAAAGTCAGAGACGGTCACGGCCCTGCTCCTGTCCAGAGTAAACTGGTTTTCACACACCTGAGTACTGTCTGTTTCACCACCACCGGAGACCACTTCCTACTATAATTCTAGTTGAAAGCTTAGCACTAAAAAATACAGTATTCATGATGGATTTACAGTCTGGAAGCATCTCCCTCGGCTGCATGTGGCCAACATCTAGTATTTTACGACATCTACCTACATACCGTATGTGTGTATGTGTGTGTGTATGTCAGCATACAAACCAGTCAATCCTAAAGGAAATCAACCCTGAACATGCACTGGAAAGACATGCTAAAGCTGAAGCTCCAATACTTTGGCTACCTGATGTGAAGAGCTGACTCATTGGAAAAAACCTTGATGCTGGCAAAAGGAGAAGAGAGTGGCAGAGATGGTTAGATAGTATCACTGACTGGATGGACATGAACTTAAGCAAACTGGGAGATAGTGAAGGACAGAAGCCTGGTGTGCTGCAGTCAGTGGGGTAACAAAGTCGGACACGACTCGGCAACTAAACAGATGAGCATACACACATACATACAGGAGCAGCTGTGACAAAAATGATTTTTAAGTAGCATGAATATGGAGAGAGATGTGCTTTTTCCCACAACCCTCACCTTGGGCTGAGGGTAAACAATTTTTCTGAGAAATGCCATCTAAGTTAGGCTTAAGAAATCCCTACTCTATAACTTGCTAATGAGAGTAAGAACCGTAAGAATAATGGTTTTAGAAAGGAATCTAGATGTAGGAGCCATTTACAATTTCTAAGCAATTAGGAGGAGAAATTTCTTAAAATAACGGAAGCCTGTTTTTGACATGTTAAAGCAGCTCCTTGGAGCACACGTGGAAATGAACATACTAACCTGCAGGGCAGAATCGCTGCTCGGGCCCGTCATATACGGACAGGTTTCTGTTTACAGGCACGCTGTCGTCTTTCAGGGTCAGATGTGCTGGCTGGTCGTGTTCATGGTTGGTACCGCTCAGAGCCACGGATGACAGGAGGTCAAAACTGATCTGCCCGTCTGGTTTTGGATATTCAATGGGTGTGCAGTCCTTGGCTGGCTTGAGCTGATCTGAGTCAGACCCTTCCAAAGTTTTGAGGAAGATTTTTAGTAAAAATAGAATTAATTTTAAAGTACTTCCTTAGACATTTGATAACTTGTAAATATTATACTGAAGCAGCAAGATTTTAGCCCCCTTACGATACCCTGTTCTCTTAACGACATTGAATTCATTTCTCTAATATGGCAAGTTTAGAACAGTAAAGTAAACTCCCCTCCTTCCCACTGACTGGATCCTGTTCCTGAGTTAATGACTAATGCTCATGCTCATAGAGGCCAGAATCACCTTTATGTTTCAGAGTCCAGGGCTCCATCCCCCTGAATATCCAGTAGAAGATTCCAGTGTAAATCATCCCTCCGTACAAACCCAGGATGCTGTGGCAGGACGGTCGGATGTTCCTGACAGCATAGAGCTCTTTCCACACCCACGACTTCTTCAAATTGTCCTCGTACTCAGTTACGTCAAGCCCTGTTTATAAAAAAAAACACAAAAAAAACACATGAAATACTGTGTTAAATTGCCTCAAGGAGTCTAACTGTTAAGGTACTTAGCTACCAAAATAAGTGATGCATCTTATGTAATTACAAAAAGCAGGTGGTCATGTAAGACTACACTTGAAGAATTTTTTATGCATAAATGTTGATATCATCCAAAAAGATACCTATTTGATGTGTTAACAGGCAAGGCAGTAAGGCCAAACTGGTAGCATGGGAAATAAGTTTCAAAATTCAGTGAACCTGAAAAGGAAGCTAAGAGAGCTTATGCTACTTATGAAAGTGAGAAATTTCAGAACTGATCAGTGAAACCTTTCTACCTGCTATGGGTTGCACTGTACCCACCCAAAAAGGTATTTTGATGTCGTAACCCTGAGGTGTCTCAGACTGGGTCACGCTGGGTTGTCTTGGAGTCAGAATAGGGTCGCTGCTGGTGCAATGAGTTAAAATGAAGTTATACTGGAGTGGACTGGGCCCTCAGTCCAATGACTGGTGTTTTTACAAGATGACACACACACAGAAGACTTCAGGGGAAGCCAGGGCAGATGCTGGAGTTGCTGTGCCAGGAGCCAAGAATGCCAGGGGCTCCCGGCAGCTGGAAGCCAACCTGGAGACGGAGTGGTCCTGCCAACACCTCCACTTAAGAGTTGCTGGCATGGGGAACTCAGAGTAAGCAAGTCGCTCAGCCTGTGGTGCTTTGTTGTGACAGCCCTAGGGAATGACAGTGCCGGACAACGCCTACAGCTCGGGGTGTGCGTTTAACCTCTAACGGATGTCTTCCTTCTGGTTACCTGCTGTGAGCTCCGCGGTGAGCAGCCCCACTACTCCTCCACCTGCGCTCCTCCACCTGCTCACTCCACCCTTCAGTGAGGAACCCCGTGTGCAGTGAGAGCACCCTGGGGACACACCCTTGGTGAGGATCAGTCCCCTGCCCAGGCCTCCACGTCTCCAGGACACCTCAAGGTACAACCTACTTGGGCAAGCATCAAGTTACCGGACTCTGTGGAGTACGGCGTAAATCAAGTATTGAGTTGCTACTGCTGTTTGTGGTTCACAGGGAATGAAGCCGCTGCTCTTGAGTTTCCACCCAGGAGGCAGGAGATAAAGTTGATCAATTCCGCCAAAAGGTGGAAAATACCACATGGAAAGAGGGACTGGGGCTGGGAGTGCTGTGTGTGTGAGTACATATGTGTATGTGTAGATACGTGTGTACACGTGTGTGTGTGCTGCAGATTCACTGATCAACATGGAGCCACTACAGAGATCTAAGCAGAGGTGCAGGGAACTCAGGGGTGCCTGGCGCTCCCAGGACCTGGAGAGTGGAAGGAGGTGACGGCAGAGGGTGGGGCAGGTCCCGCTGTTCTTGGGGAAGAGATGAGACTGCCTGAGAAGAGGCTGTCCCCAGATGAAGGGTCTCTGAGGGGTCCTTGGGTCAGGCCTGTGGAGCCTGCAGCCATGACTCCTCTGTCTGCCCAGAAGCGAACACCTAGGGGTGCTGGCATGTGTGTGATGTGATGTGGGGCCCTCAGGCTGATCATGCTGCTGGCGAGGGTCTCTCTGGGCATGTGTGTGTGGGGGGCCCTCATGCCGATGGTGTTCCTGGGGCCAGGACACCGCAGGCACTGCTCCGCTTTCCACGTTCATGAACGAGAAGGTGGCCGGAAAAACCCCGCTCGTGGTGAGTGGGCCACAGGTTTCTTTGCTCAGCACGCATCTTAGCCCTCTGTGTAAAGGACAGACACAGCGGGCATCTTCCAGTATCCGGTGATATAAACATAAAGACCAAGACTCTTAATTGTATTTATTGTCCTCCTCTATCTGCACACTGAGTGTATGTTTCAATAGCTTCTTTCTAAATGTCCCTGTGAAGAACCTGAGAATACACAGGAAGTTCTTACCTATTGTCTTTGATTGGAGATTTTCATTAGTTAGTTGATTAAAAATAGATTCTGCTGCCAGAATACCACTTTTCATTGCTGTGTGAGTGCCTTTGATCTTGGGAACATTCATGAAACCAGGGCTACAACCAATAAGTAAACCCCCAGGGAAGGTGAGCTTTGGTATAGACTG